GAGACAGGACATGACATGTTGAGACAGGACATGACATGTTGAGACAGGACATGACATGTTGAGACAGGACATGACATGTTGAGACAGGACATGACATGTTGAGACAGGTCAGGACATGTTGAGACAGGACATGACATGTTGAGACAGGACAGGACATGTTGAGACAGGACATGTTGAGACAGGACATGTTGAGACAGGACATGTTGAGACAGGATAGGACATGTTGAGACAGGACATGTTGTGACAGGACAGGACAGGACAGGAGGGGTCTTCTTAGATCAAAGGTTCATAAAAACAGTTTTTATTCAAACATAAAAGCTTTTCTGAACATAAACAAACTTAATGACAAAGTTTTGTCCAATCAAAGCCAGAAGTGAGCGAGACGCTGAAGTTAAAGATGTTTTTGAGCCTAACCTGAGCCCGTAGTTTCAGTCTTCAGCCTGCACCTGCTCAGGTGTGATGACATCACATGTTCACACTGCAGTAACTCCAGCTATCTGTCCTCTGACCTTTTTGTCCTCTTCAGTCTCCGTACCGCCTCCTCTTCAGTGCTTTCAGGTAGAAACTGGTCCCGTAGCACCTGTCAATCATCCATCTCCTCACTTCATGCAGCCAATCATATCACTGCTGACATCACAGCTGCCGTGTACAAAATAAAATCTCATCTTTTAGTTATTTTTTGGAGTTTGAAAAATCCTTACAACTCATTTTGTGACGTTAACGGTACAAACAAAATAACGGTTTTTGTTTAGAAAAAAAAAGACATTTTATTGTTTTCATTTGAATCGATAAATTTCTGTATTTTATGTCATCGTCCTGCTGCATCATCACTTCGGCTTGACTTCATTGGCTGTCGCACCTGTTTGTTGTCTTACTCTGTTTGTAAACATGTTTTTTGTTGCTTTTAGCAGAAGTGCAACTCCGTCTCCCAATAAGACGTCAGGAAGTCGAACGGGACGCGACCGATTCGCTGGAGAGTCTTACACAGTGTTGGGTAATTCTCACTGATTGGATCTTATTTTGAAAAACTAAGAGTTACTGTTTGTTTCAGGGCTTTTATTTTGAAGAAGCACTGACTTTTCTCTGAATGCCAGTGATTTATTTTGGAGGGTACAGCAGAAAAGTCTCTTCCTGTTTGCTCTGATGTGTTTAAACTAGTGCCGGGCACACTAACAAGTAATTACCAAGTTATTAACTTGTTACCAGGTTTCACATGAATAAGTTACCTTGTTAACTAGTTTATTTCACATAACAAGTAAACATGTAAACAAGTTATTTTTTAACAAGTTATCACCTTTTTTTAATAAAACAAGTTAAACATATTTGAGTCATAATTTATTTTAGTTCAAACTAAGATTAATCAGGATTAAAGTTTAATCTTTACCCAGCACTAGTTTCAACACTTTTATCTCCTAGGTGACCAAGAGATGAATGGTGGTTGTTATTACTGGGAGCTCCGCCCCCTTGCTGATTGGAAATCATTTAGTGTGGGCGTGGCCTATCGAGGCAGCTTGGGACGATATGACCAATTAGGTAAGAGTCCCAGTTCATGGTGTCTCTATGCCAACCAATGGCTGCAGAGCTCCCTCTCTGTCAAACACAACAACCGAGCCAAGGCGCTGGATTGGCCACTCCCACAGCGAGTCGGAATCTACTGTGACTACGATGAAGGTTACCGTTACTCTTCTTCTTCCTCCTCCTCCTCCTCCTCTTCCTCAGCTGACTTTTGTTTTTGTGTTTTAGGAGATTTGTTGTTTGTTGATGTCGATCAACTTCGTCTTCTTCACAGCTTCAAAACAAAATTCAGCCAACCGCTCGTCCCCGCCTTCACTGTAAGAAATACTACGACAGTACTACAACAGTACTACAGCAGTTTTACAGCAGTACTACAACAGTTGTACAGCAGTACTACAACAGTTGTACAGAGAAACATTGATTGTTGTAGTACCAGCCATATTAGGTAGTAACACTGCACCTGGTCAAACTGTGTTACAGGTGTGGTGCGGAGGAGTCGCTGTAACAACAGGGCTGCAGGTACCAAGCTTCATGAGAAACTTCCTGTCGACCAATCACAGCGTCAGCCTGTCGCAGCCAATCAGTGATCAGAGACTTGTTTCTGTCGCCACATCAGAAAACTATTAATTTAATATCAGAACTAAAGACTTTTATAGATGTTTAATCAAATTTCTTGAAATAG